GATAGGAAGGCCTGGAGGAATTATTGTCCATGGGGTAGCGATGTGTCGGACACAACTTTGCAACTAACAACAACAATATGAAATTGTTGGCTACATATTTAGCATAATGCTCATTAAAGCTTGTAGACACCACTTAGTTTAGGAAAATTCAAGTTAATAGAGGAATTACTATTCTTTCAGAACCAAATACAAAAAAAATTGACGTCAGTGATATTAACTCATACCAATGGAACAGAAGGTCTTTACTGTTGAAGAGTCTATGTTTATAACAATACAAGAAGACAGAAGATCAAATTCTGAAGGTTTGAGAGATTAAAATTGTAAAACTGCACAAAACTGGATCACATTTACAGAACTGACACAATCTCAGTATATCAAAGTATCAAGAACTGGATTTTCCAGTAATTATTTATATTGGAGTAACACTGTTTTTCTCTATCTTACATTGCTTAACCCTATAATTGGTGTAATGTAATTATGTTGCAAAATGATCCAACATTATGATGCATTATAATTTTACAATTAAATACAAGGAATAGCAATTCTCTTACAACTTTGAGTAAAATATGGCTTGCCACCTTAAAATAATTCTTTCGGAATCCTTTTATAACACTACAATAAGATTTGCTCAGTAATTGACTTAATATGGCCAGGATGTAGGCTAGTAACTGGGGCATTCTTGACATACTAGTATTATCTGGGACTCCTTTGGCTGGTATTTCCTGCTATCCTCTGCCATTTGTGGGTTGGATCTTTGTCCTTTCTGGCTCGTGTACATCGAAAGAGGGAGATAATTACCTGGATCCAAGAAGTAGTCAATATCTTACAGCAGGAGTGGCCAACCTTTTGGACCTCAGGGACCACCAAACTCATAATTTTAAATCCCGCGGACCAAAGACCCTGGGAAAATCCCCCCAAAAGTTGCAGGGAAATTCCCCATCCCGTTTTCCTACCGATCAATCATTCTTTATTTGGGATTGCAAAATACCGTCTCCAGCTCTGTTCTCAGGGAGAGAGAGAAAGAAACTTTTGGCTCCGTACAAGGAAAGCAGAAGAAGCAGCAGAAGTCTTTCTTTCTCTCCCCCAAACTCTGCCAGAAATGACTCTTTGCTGGCGCAACCTCTTGGAGCAGGATGCCTTGCAGGGTCCCAAAGACTCATTTCTGGTGGAGTTTGGGGGAGAGAAAGAAAGACCTTTGCTGCTTTCCTTGCGTGCAGCCAAAAGCAGAAGTGGAAAGAAGCAACCCAGTGGCCAGGCAAGGCACGTGGGGCATGTGGGGCAAGTTCCCGCCCTCTGCCCTTCCCCCCTCCCCTCACTACTTCATGTTGTTCACAATGCAAGCAACACAAGCCTTGTGTTCCCACGCAGCCTGGATTGCTTTGGGGGTGCTTTCGGGGTGACATTTCTCTGCGGACCAGCAAAATTTTCTCATGGACCACCAGTGGTTCCCAGCCCACTGGTTGGCGACCACTACCTTACAGTACTGCAAAAGGGTACTATCAGCACCTTAAAAGAGGGTGAGATGTGCCTCCTCCTTAGGAGGCCTTCTTTGGACACAGAGCTATTAAATAACTACTACTGTTTCCAATATTCCCTTTTTAGGAACGATAGAGGTAGGGAACAAAGAATGAAGCTTTGTAGAGAAAATTGATTTTATGAAGTTTTTCAGGCATGTTTCAGGCCCAGCATGGGACAAAGAGACACTCTAGATTACCTTTGTCGGGATCTGGATTTCTCACTGCCTTCAGTATAAGTTTTACCTTGACAGGTCAAGGGCTTTGAAATTCTTGCAATATCTCATCTTCCTACTATTGTCACTACCCATTTTCGCTACCATAATGTGTATTTAAGGACTACTCAGAAGCTGCAAAATAATCCAGCATGCAACAGCCTGTGTGCTCATTAATTCCTGGCACTGGGACTGGGAGTACATGACAGCTGTGCACTGGCTTCCATTAACTGTCCAGGTACAATTTAAAGTGCTTCTTTTAATCTATAAAGTCTTCTATGACTTCGCACCAGGTTACTTTCAGAATCACATTCTCTAACTAGAATTGGCCCAATAAATAGAATGGGGGGGGGGGGGCAGAGGGAAGTGTAGAAACAACTTTTAGATGTGGGTGACTAAGGCCAGGAAATGAGTGCTGCTTCTCAGTGATATTTTTGGCCCTTTGAGATTTTCCAGCTGAAATTAGACTAGTTCCCACCATTGCTCCTTCTGCAGTTTAAAACAGAACTGTTTTGTAGAACATTTCTTATTGATACCATTTACTTGATAGTTTTTCCATTGTGTTTTATTTTAATTAGTCATTTTGATTTTATATGTGTATAAAATCTGTGAATGAGAGTCCGTTCTGTTTGGTGTAGTGGTTAAGATATAAAGCTACAAACCAAGAGACCATGAACTCTGGTTCTGCCTAAAGCTTGATTTAGAGTTGTCTGCAACTGCGCTGCCACATATCTGTGGTGTGAAGGGGTTTGTGGATAGGTGCAGGTTGCAGATGGCTACAGATGAACTGATATACACATCTCCCAAATCCCAACTGCGAATTGTGCATGTGGATTGATCCAACTTTGTTTTGTGCTTTGCTATTTAAGTGACCCCTAACTAGAACAAACATTCACAAACCTATAAATGCAACATCTACGCAACTGTTTCCAAATGACACATGCACTGACAAAGAAGTTTAATCCAGGTGACTTCAAAGCCAGATGAATCACCATGGATCACCCACTTTCTCTCAGCTCTAGGAAGAAAGCAATGGTAAACCACTTCTGAAAACCTTGCAAAGAAAACTGATGGGAATAGTCCAGGCAGTCTCTAAAAATTGGACACAATTAAATGAAAGAAAAAAAATCTTTCAAGCATTTGAAGTCCTTAATTGGACTGCAACTGGATATAAATATAATAAATAATAAACATCTGCAACAGCTAGCTGAAAATATTTATTTCAACAAAGTCAAAGAAAGGATTCTGAGAAATATATATGTAAGAGCAAACAAAATCTGCATCCTAAATATTTACTAAGACATTCACATGTACAAATACTCAATAAGGACAATTTAATATTATCAAATATTACTATTTTTCCAGGATAAAGCAGAAGGAATAATTAAAGCTAAACAATCTCACGCTAGAGAATTTAAATACAATAACTTCTAACAGGAATATAGAAATTCAAATTCAGAACAAATTCTCAGAATAATTGAAAAAATTACTGAGAAATATTTTTAAAATAGTTTATTTAGAAAATATACAGCTTGCCCTCTTATTAACCATTCTTACACCAAAGGACAAAAATAACATAAAAATATAGTTGAAAACATTAGTAAAATTATTGGAGACAAAAAGATAAATATAGCAGCCAATAAAACTAAATGCTTACCGCAAAAAGTGTATCTAAATAAACAAGTATTCAATGTCTTAAAAGAGCCACAGACCCGGATCTGGTAAGCCTCAATTGGCATTTGCCTCCAAGAACCATGTCTTCAAGACAACCACACAACTGTTGATGTGTGCCAGATCATAAAAACCAGGTATGTTTACACAAAGTGAAAGAGGTTCCTGTAAATATCTGCAGTGCACTTTATAAAGGTCCTTAAATGTTCAATACTAATCATACATTACAATCAGCCCTATTGAAGATTGTGATTTTTCTTTAAACAGAGAATTACTATATAAAAATAAGAACCTTGAATTTTGCCCCCAAACAAAATGTTATATGTATTGAGTAATCCAACACAGAGAGCATTTAAAATGCTGCCCATTTCAATCCCTTATCATAACAATATGCATGAACCCTCTTCTCTGGTCAAGAATAGCCAGGGTCTCCAGTCAGCATCAAATTCAATCCTGAAAAAGCCAGTTGCACAGCTACACCTCAGCCTAAATGTTGAATTACTGGAAACATGGACACATTAAATTTTCGGTTCGACCAATCTTCAAGGCTATTTCAGGCCTAATATTTTGCTTAGAAGCAATGCGGGGTCACATATTAATTGTAGGTGGCCCGGAAGCGGCTGAGGATGTAGGCAGTAAACCGTTCCCAGGCACTGACGGTAGGGCGGCACTTATCAAGAGAGGTCCCCTTGTCCCTCTTGTGCCCACCCCAGAAGCGGCACACGCCCTTCTCACGTTCTCTATCCCGGAGGATTTAAGCCTCACAGATCCCGAGCGACCTTTCCTCAGCAGCCCCGTAAAGCAGCAGGAGCCGTCCGTACACCCAGCACCTTCGCTCCGTTAAAGGAGCTCGGCGGAGGCTGCTTTCCATGTTTTCCGGCGACGAAGACGGCCGGCCAGGACGACGGCCGTTTGTTTGTGCCCACAGCCCGGCTACCCCACCCCCACCCCCTGCGGCGAAGAAAGAGGTGGGCGAAGGCAGGGAGGGAGGAAGGAAGGAAGGAGCGGCTGCAACACGGCAGCTCCATTTCAAGCGGAGGCGCGGGAGCCGGTGGTCATGTGATGCGATTCCTGGAAAGTTCTTGGAAAGCGGCCTTTGCATTTTTAATCGTTCCGCTGGTAAAAACACAAAGCAAAATAACTGCGGGAAGAGAAAACGGCCGGACACCAGGCGAGGCACCCCGAAGTTGCCTCGAGATCGCTTGCAATGTACCCGGCGGGGGGGGGTGGATAAGGGAGGGGAGGCGCTCCACATACTGTAAGCACAAGAAACCTGCCTCTTCCAATCCCCCCCCCCCAACCTCGCACCGAGCTCAGCCTATCTGAAATGGCACAGGAGGAAAGACGGGGGCAACGCTCGCCTCGCCATTATTAATCCCAGTCATGACATGCAACCGCGTCACCCCACTTTCTGAGTTGTTTCGGTATCGGCGCGCACCAGGCAGCAAATCTCGCCCGCCGGCCGCGGCTCCTCGCTCCTGTTTACTTGCCTTCCACGCGTCACATGAATATTTCCTGCCCCGGGTTGTAGGAGAAGCTCTTGCAGAGCATAACCTGAACTGGCCGGCCCGGCGGCTACTCGCCCGCCCCCCTCTCTCTCAGCTAATATTGCGGGACTCTTTCTCTTTTGCTCCTTTTGAAACAAAAGCAAGGCTGGTCGCCGTGGCGAGCCTCCCAACGGCCTCTCCTTTTAAAAAGCGCCGCGCTAAAGAGACCAGCATCCCGCCCTTCTGGGTTTTGCCGCATTTGCTGGCGAGGCCGAAGGTAAGAGTTTGGCCGAGTGCACACGACTCTTCGCCCCGGGGCTGCCCACCGATTATTTCCTAGACAGCAGCCAGACTCGCTGCAAAGGAAAGGAGGAGAAAGGCGTGCACCTTGAAAACAGCCGGTAAGCCATCCTCGAAATCCCCGTCCAGGTGGCGGCTGGGAGAGGCGCTTTCCCGGCGGGTGCCGGTGCCCTTCGTGTGCAGTGGGGAAGTCAGGACAATAGGAAGGAGGCAGAGAAAAGCGGGCGCCCTTCGCCCACCCCAGCGACGAACGGATCGCCTTTCCGAGGGATGCTGCGAAAGTGAAGATTCGAGCGGCCGATATCGCCGGAGCCTCTCGCCGGGCCCTGGTTCTCCTCTCCTGCTGAGCTGCAGGTCCCTGCGGGCGGCGGTCAGATGGCCTGGGGCAGCCGCCGGGAGGTCTGGTAAGGACCCATTGTTCCTTACTTTCCTCCTCACGTCGTGGTCTCTGCCCCCAAATGACCCTGCGCTCGGCCGAATCTTCGGATGGCACCGACAGGGCTGGGCCCCAGTGGGAAGCTGGAGGAGCTTCGGCGGAACCTGCTGAAGGGGAGCGCCTGGACTCTGCCATGAGGGAGTTGAGATGCGCGGGTAAGGCAAGCGTGGGGAACGTGGGAGTGGGCACCCGGCGTTCGATTGAGCCGTGGAGGGGTGGAAATGCATGCAGGGTTCGTAATTCTGTTGTGTAGCATCCCCAACGCTGGTGGGTTATGAGTTGAAAAAAGACTCCCGCCATTAAGCTCCTGAGAGGTGGAGCCCCAAAAACAGGCGCCCCGCAGAATCTCTTAAGTGGAGGAAAAAGCTTCGAGGGTGGAAAGATGATGAGTTGAACCGAAATTATTCCACCAAACTAATGTGTTTACCTGCCTGGAAACCTTCGCAGGGTTAGCTAGGTACTTTTCTACAGTTGGGTTTTATGTTGCAAGTTTTAAGTCCGCGTTCCTTTATTGAGTTGGGAAACTGCGGTGGGTTTTCAACTTTTCTTTAATGATCATTCTGAGTAACTCTCAGGTAGCAGGCAGAAAATCCTCTCTGATGGAATACAATAATAGCTTAAGATCTGGGGAATAAGAAGGAAGGAACAAGACAAGTTCTGCTGTTTCTCAGACTTGTATGTTGGAGCACTGTACTGCAACTTCAATTCATCTTGGATTTCCACATTTCAGATTACTTCAATTCATCTTGGATTTCCACATTTCAGATTAGCCAACACAATTAGGTGTACATTATCAAATACATTATATAATCCTGAACTTGTTTCCACTATAGTAGTAGCACCTCAGAATTAAGAGACTAATAAAATGCTGGGCAGAACTAGGAGTAAATCCAGAGTTACATAAGACTTCTAGGAAAACATCTCTGTGTTAATAAAAAAAGATCAATTTGTTTAGAATAGTGAGCAGAAATTTTAATAAGATTTCTTTGTAAAATCTGTTAGCCTTATTCTTATTTTATTTTAAATTTTTATATTATACTTTTTTTAAAAGATGTCGTTTCACTACAGTTTTCCTATTTGGTCTTGTATTTAGTTCTGAGAATAAATTGGATACACTGCAAAGGTTATTACTTCTAGCTGTTACTACTGCATTATAGATAGCAAAAAAATGATTCCAATCCTGCCAGGAGATCCTAGGAGTTATATTTTAATGCATGGAGGGACAACCATGTTAGACAGGCTACTTCAATTATCACATGAAAGGTATTTTCTCTCATTATTTTTTAGGGTTAAGAGAAAGTATTGATTTTAAGTTCTTTAGGGTCTAAAATTTGCCTTGTTCTAATCTCATATAATCTTTCACATATCTGCACTGTATTTGATGAAAGAAGTGTTATGGGTTTTGTTTGCTTAGCAGAGCTGTTAATAAAATAAGGCTATTGAAAAATGGGCAATCTTAAATCCTATTGATATTCGTACAGCACTTTTGCAATACAACTCTATCAGCCCTATTAAGTATAATGGTATTTATTATTAAATAAATACATGTCAGATTCTGTTTGCAAAGTTTTCTGGCCATATTCATGTTTCACAAAGCAGAAAGTAAAAGTGAGAAACTGCATTAGTTATTCAAGGACACTTAGGAAGTAGTATTAGAATGTTAAGGGGTTTGAATCGTTGGATTTTATGCACAATTATGTTTATTTTTATCAAAATTCTCCAGTGCAGATAGTTATTGGCACTGGATTGTCCTTTGCTTCCAATGGTATTCTGTCTAAAACTATGATGAAGATTCTTAACTAATTTTGCTTTCTCTTCTATTAGGATGGTATTGGGGAAGCATGAGTGTTGCAGAAGCAAAGGAAAGATTACAAGATGCATCTGAAGGGACTTTCTTGGTCAGAGACAGCTCTCACTCAGAGTATTTACTTACTATTTCAGTCAAAACCTCAGTAGGTCCTACCAATTTACGAATAGAATTTCAAGGTGGTAAATTCCGTCTGGATTCTGTTATCTGCATCCGATCAAGGCTCCAGCAATTTGACAGTGTGGTTCACCTAATTGAATATTATGTCCTTATGTGCAAGGACAGAAGAATGGTCTCCGAAATACCTTCCAATGGAACAGTCCATCTTTATTTGAATAAACCTCTCTATCATTCAACACTGTCTCTACAGCATCAGTGTAGAGTAGCAATAAACAGATACACAAGTAAAATCCAGGAACTTCCATTACCAACAAGATTGAAGGAATTCTTACAGGAATATCGATATCGGGTATAAGCATGTACTCAGCCTCATTTTAAGAAAACAGGTCCTGAATATGATTTGTGAGAAATCAAAATCTCCAGCTGCATGAACGTATTGCGTAGGTCACTGTGAAAATAGTATGTTATTGTGTATGTTTGTGGACTTTAATAGAGGACTTGGATTTAGCATTTAAAACTTTGGTGCTCAGTAAACTTCCTGATGCTATTAGAATTACAAGCTGAGGGGGAAAGTGTTTCATTGGGAACAAGTGCCTAAAAAAGAATGGTTCATTGCTCTTTGATACCTATGCACTAACTTCGTTCTTACAATAAATGAGGCATTTTGTAAGAAACCCATCTTATAAAATATTACTAAATCCAAATCCAAATGATATGGCTGCCCTTCAAAATAACTTCTGAATAATATGGACCAGTCAATGATACCATGGCTACCTTAAAATAATCTATGGTCCTCATTCTGAGAGCCTATTGCATTCATCGCTATTTTGAAAGATTAGGAAAGATTCCTAGTGACCATTTACAGTTGAATGCTCCCCTCATATCAGAAGGGCTAAGGGGAGGATAGGCATCTGGATTTTAGTAGCAAATGACTTACAACTCTGCAATTAGGTCACTGTAAACTTTTTGTGAAGTTACAAAGGGAACATACATTTTGGGCAATAAATTTCCAGCTAGCATAAAAGACTGGCTGGTGAGATTCACTGTCTCAGTTTAGATCAGTCTAATGCTCCTGATTTTGTATTTTGCACATTCTTAATTATAATTTACATATTAACAAATGGCAAGCTTTTATTTTCTAATATTATAGCACTTGAGTGTTTTCTCACTAAAAACTTACCTAGCAGTTCTTCCTGATTATGAATATATGAATATTTTGGGGGGTGGGGGAGAGATGCTTTCAAATCCATGTTGACTCTTCTCAATTACCTTAGACAAGTCCTGCAGTTTTCTTGGCAAATTTTTTGGGAAATAGTTTGCCATTGTCTGCTTCCTAAAGCTGGGAAAAAGAGAGACTGACTGAAGATCACCAGTTGGTTTCTTGCCTAAGATGGGACTAGAACTTATAATCTCCTGATTTCTAGCCTTATGCCTTAACCACTACATCATTCTGGTGCTATTATAAAAGCTATAGTTTTCCTCATTTTTACTCAGAATGTAAGTTTAGCATTATAGCAAAGGTCTATTTGAACAGTCAAAATGGGACTGGATTTCTAGATAAGATGGCAGGCAGGCACACCATCCCAAGCCTTCAGTATAGTCTCCACAAAGCCTCCCTAAATGATAACTTTCATCTAAGAGAAAGAGAAATATGGTATATGTGGAAAGTAACCATGTCAGACCAGAAACAGTCCATGAAGTAGGTGTGTGGGAGAGAGATGTGTGAAATCAATTATTCCTAATTTAAGGCAATGTAATTAAAATCTTATTCCAAAGCAAAGGTCATATTATTCCTCTTACAGGGACTCTGGATAAATTGAGGTAATGTACCATTATATGTGTTAGCACAGAGTTTTCTTTCTAGATCCATAACAGTAATAGGTCCCTTGAATGAGGCTTTATAAACATCTAGACTGCAGTCTTGAGTTGTTTCCATCCAAAACAATAGTAAATATGACTAACTTCTACAATGTAGAATTTTATTAGTGTTCTTATTTCCTTGAAATGCAAGTAATTTTGCTTTTAAAAAATATTATTCATATATACCTCTCCTATTTCAGACAGTGCTCAGTAAATCAAATTGTAGTGCCCTTATGCTCATAATGTGTTTCTGTGTTCAAATGGACTTTTCAGAATTACACAAGAAATATTTGTCTATGACTTTATGTCATTTCCAGAAGAAAAAAAATTATGGCACCAAGTGTATTCATACTGACATTTAGTTTAGTGATAACTAATAAAATAGCTCTAAAATTCCTCTCCTACACATGGCTTCAACACTCTTAATACTATTCAAGCTAATAGCCTCAACATCTTATTCTTAATCCCATATAATAATTCATCGTGCAAAAAGATTTCATTTATTCTGTCCTGAAGGACTTGAATTTTAATCATATGGGCAGAAAAATATCCACTTTCTTTATGTTTTAGATAGATAAGTTCTCAACAGTTGGTGGATGCAGTCATAGAAACTTTTTGAAGTTTAATTTTAAAGTTGGTATTCTGTTTATTCAAAAACCCATCTGGGGATGCAAAGAGCCAGGTGCACATTAGGAGCTAAATTTAGGCTAGAGATACACTGATATTCATGTCTAGAAATTGAGGCCATGTTCACATGATTACTTGCAAAATTATGTTGTATAGATACATTTGTTGCTGTGGGAACAACAAAAATTGAGGTATCCAGTAAAATGTTTCTTTTACATCCACTTTGTTCTCATTGCCTTTTTGGTATATTCAGAACAAATATGCTAAAATTATTCCATGTGTTGCTGCATGTTATATGTTGCTTGTAGGTGGATGTTGGAGGATTAAGATGTTATTACACTGAATGTGGGACCAATTTCTTCACCCCCTTTTTTCTTACAAAGACTTAAAGAATCTAAATAAAATAAATTAGTCCATTGAGAGAGAGGGAGGGAAAGAAAGAGAGGGAGGGAAGAAGAGAGGTAGAAGTTGAGAGATGAAGTTGGTCTCTATAGCACACATGTCATCTCTGGACCACCCATCAAAACATTTTGATTTGGTTCAGTGAACTGCAGTGGACCTCTGGAAATAGCAAATGGGATGCTGGGATATTGCAACTGGCCTCAGATTGTCCATTGATATAGCAATGTATATTTCATTATTGAAAAGTCTCCTGTTCCTAATCTTTTCAACTGCATGTTGAATTACAAGTGGAAGAATATAACACCTCATATTCTTCCTTGGTTTCTATAATGCTAGGATGAGATATTTTCTAGTCTTACTTTGGTAATAGCTACTCAAAGGTACTGTGAACTCCAACACATGGGGCTGACTGTCATGCCATGATAATCAAGTGATTGCTTTTGGTGTACTAAAATGTGTAGCCCTGCTCAATATGTAGATTAGACTGCTGATTAAATAGTGTTTTAAACTATCCTGGCTTCATATTTGTATCTAAGGTTATTTCCATACTAGCTTGGTGTCATTACGTTGAAACTATCTTTATTTTACTACCATTGAGAGATTCTATTGAAAGGTGTTGGATAAGTTAGATGTGTTTCTAAAGAGACAACATGGCTTCACTTTTTTGTCACCTTTAGCCTGAAATTGTGAATGGATGTCAATTGCAATCTAAATTTAGCTCTAACAGATCATGCTAGTGTACATATTTTTTGAAAATTAAGCATCAACATAATTTAGTTTATGTTATAATCTAAAGAATTCAGGATGCTTAGTACTATAATTTCTTTATCAAATAAAAAGGATTTGAAACATTAAAGATGATCACCATTAAATATTTTGGCATTCCCAATAGTTAAACTATCTTTTGATAATAGATTAGTTACAGTAGAACTTTTCCTCCAACTTGAGGGAACAACTCTAAATATGTACTGATGAAGCAAATATAATTCACTGCCATAAAATGTATTCCCATACAATATATATAAAATCAATCTATAAATCTCTTCATGTATTACACTAAAATATGGTTTTGTTTAACTATGGTTATGATTACAAAAAACATAATTTACCTTGTGACTCAGTGCGACATTGAATTCGATCTATTTTATTTAAATTCTAAGATATTCAGTAAATATCCATTAATGTTAGTTATTAATGTAACTACATTAAAAGTGTCCTGAAAATTATTATATTTAATTGCAGGAAGCAATATATCTTATTGTTCAATCAACTTTTACATATTTCAAGTTAATGCATAAATACTGATTAGTTCAATTGCTGTACTTCTTGTGAAAAATGCTTTTACCTGTTCTGTTATATAAAGTACCATATTAAAACACTTTTGATACAAATGTGAAAGATATATTATTTTATTCTTAGCAACTTAGCAACAGCGGTTTGCTACCAAGTCTAATTTTGGTTCTTGTCTAGAAAATAAAAATATTGTACTCTTACTCATTTTAAAGAGTACATAAAACATACATTAAGTACTTCCATATTGGTAGACCCTAAAGTTTTTTTCAGGTGCATAAATTTTAATTTATTTTAAGAAATATATAAGGCCAGAAATTTACATGTTTTGAAATATAGATATACTGTATATGATTTTTAATTATAGATTACTTAATGCTGACATTTATATAATATGTATTTCTACTCTGTATGTTTGTTTATTTAAAACATTTATATAGCCACCTATCTTACAATGAACGGTGTGCAGTTTTTCTGTATTTTACATAGAAAACTGCATCTAAAGAGATAGAGTTCAATAGTACTTCTATCTACAAGAGTTGTTTTCACTAAGGTAACAAAATGCAGTCCAGGTGGCAGCATATGTATCAGTATTCAGCAGAAGATAATGTAGCTTTACATTGATTAGAAAAAAATTAGACTCTTGATTTTATACTATCAGTCGATAGATGGATCAGATTTAGCTATAGCTGAGAGCAATCTGCATGACCTAGATACAGCTGCACACGTTCATTTACATAAAAAAGGGCTTTTAGCCAATTTGGTAGCGCTTGGTGAATTATCACAAGATAGGCTGAGTATTTGAAGTTTTTCAGTATTTTCTTTCCTCTTGTAATTGGGAGATGGCTAGAGTATTTTAAGAGTCTTCATATTTATTTGAAAGTAGACCCCTGAAGCTTGTGTCAGACTTAGCAGCTAGATTCATCCATTGTTGAAGCTGTCATATGTTTTGGCTTAGTGTGTTGGAATAGCCACCAACCAGTGTGTATTCATCAAATCATAGTCATATGTGCAATGTATGTGTGTAACCATTCTATGATAATTACATTTAGGATTTCAGCTTTATTCTTTCAAGGAATTGTAATAAGCCACTTTTAATAATATTCAAAATAATCACTGAAAGATTAGGTTTGGGAATGTCTGCTGTACTTTAAAGAACTATTTAACCAAAACAAACTACAAAACTTAATTCCTTACTGAAAGGGCTCTCCATATACAATCTTTGCACCTCTCCACCTTGTGGAAGGATGCAAAGAACTCCACAGCAGTGCAAAAGGAATAGCTACAGAGATACTTCTGCAGCAATGACTCTTCAGATTTGGAATGGGTTTCCCTAAGTAGAATTCTCACCTTGCTTCACTCCTTTGGTTCTTGCCTTCTCCCTTTTCCTGCTAATACTGAAGACTTTTTGACATCCTGATATCACCTGCCATTTATTTTAAAATGACAAGAAGAACCCTTTAAAGCCATGTTCTTAGTGAATCAACAGCATTCTTTAAGGGATTATTTGCAAACAAGATAAATCATTACTTTTCAAATAGGAAGTTTAACTGTACAGTATTGTTGATTCTTAACATATTGAAGTGTACAGCTCTGTGCAAGGCTGCCTTTGAAGATCACTGGGAAGCTACAGCTGGTACAGAATGTAGCAGACAAACTGCTGGGAGGTATTTATATTATTTACAGAATGCCCCAATCAATTTTAAAAGTACAAATAAAACAAAAAGAAAATAATTCTTAAAAAAACAGTAAGAACTAAGTAGAACCCAGAGCATGTACTGCTTTTATAGCTTTAGAAAATAAAAGATGGGAGGAGATCAAATATATCTGTTGAGGAGGCATATTCCAAATCATGGAGCTTTCTAGACAAGAAACCTGGTATCTCAACCATATCCCAGTATTCTTTGTAGGAGGGATGAGATGCTTAACACACTATCTTTACATGTTCATAGCAGAATGACAGATTTATCGAATCTTAACAATAGGTTCATTCTGCACTGGTGGAGTTGTGTATCAGCATTTTGATTGCCATAATTAGGACTACTTCCAGGATCCAAGTTACCTCTAGCACAGCTCCACATAATGTGTCCTGTAGTAGTCTAGATCCAGCCATATATGGGTAGTCCTTGACTTATAACAGTTCATTTAGTGCCTGTTCAGAGTTACAACAGCACTGGGAAAGAGTGACTTATAACCATTTTATGACCGTTGTAGCTTCTCTATGGTCACATGATTTACATATGGATGCTTGACAACTGACTGACATTTATGATGGTTGCAGTGTCCTGGGGTCAGGTGATTACCTTTTGCAACCTTCTGACAAGCAAAGTCAATGGGGAAACCAGATTCACTTAACAACCATGTTATTAATTTAACAACTGCAGTCATTCACTT